CCAGTTCGTGATGCTCAATGCTGATCTATAAATTCAATACGATTTCGAGCTCGAGCTGGTGGAGATCGGCCGAATCGAATTGGTATACATATCCGCGTATTCGGTCCAAAAAATTCCGTAATAAACAAGATATTTAATAATCCGATTTTAGTCCCTCCGCGGGTTCCAGGTTGTGTGAATTCCGAATTCTATTCGAGGAGGGCGATCAAACCCTAGAAGATCCGATTCGTCGCCACCGATTCACCGATAGCTCTCAAATCCATGGCGTCGCGCAGGCGTATGCTTCTGAAGGTCATCATCCTCGGGGACAGCGGGTGAGCGCTATGGCCCTTTTGCGATCTCCCTAAAGTTTTGATTTTGTTGTTATTTCCCTTTTGAAATTCTTACGTTTTGGACTTGTGACAGGGTCGGGAAGACGTCTTTGATGAACCAGTATCCTTGAAATTATGTGGTTTTAGTGGTGTTTGGCTTTTAATTGCTGAAAGAATTTAAGTTTTTTAAGAACCGACAAGCAGGAAAGGTTTGACCTTGATTAGTTGCGCAGATATGTCAATAAGAAGTTTAGTAATCAGTATAAAGCAACGATTGGGGCGGATTTCTTAACGAAGGAGATTCAATTCGAGGACAGGCTCTTCACATTACAGGTGGGTTTTTCCTTTTCTCCGTCAGGGCTGATTGATTTCCTTATATTGTTTCAGTTTTCTTTGGCCGCATGGGCTGTTTTTTCATGTTTAGGGTAGGTTTTGCTATGATATGCTTGGTACCTTGAGCTCCCCTGTTATACTAGTGAATTATAATTGATGTTCTTTATTTTTTGCTACTTTTTAGGCTTCATTCGGGATGGCTTTCTTAATCCTTCTTAAAGAAGCTTTCTAGTACAAAAATTTAATCTTTATACTAGAAAGCTATTTTAAGCAGCAATAAGAAAGTCGTCCCAAACGAAGCCTAAGCTTCTTAAAGCAGCTTTATAGTACAAAAAATTAAAATTTTGTACTAAAAAACCGCATTAAGAAGCGGTAAAAAAACCGTTAGCGGTTTGGGTATGCATGCATTATGAACATTAGAATATGTTCCAATAAAATGGATAGATAAAATTAATGTTGAGGAATTGGGAAGAAAGTGCAGATTTAAGGAAACGTGGATGTTATTGTACAAAGATTTGTGCAATGCTTCATATAACACTAAATAGGGACAAATGTAGAATAAGAATGATGAGGACATCCGCAGAAGATTTCGTCACACTTACCATCAGAGGAATCGTAGATTGACAGCTACGATTCATAGTCTCTATTTATGATGTTTTATTTTATTTCTGTTATTTATATTTCAGTTTTTCCATTTGTATCCCTATATGGGATTTGTTATATGTTGTGGCCCAAAAGCATATGTGTCTTTGATGTTTTTACTTTTGGAGGCCTATATATTAAGACCTAGTCATTGTATTATTTTCTAATGATGCTTATGAATGAAATTTTCACTTTCTTGCTTGATCTCTTCGTGAGTTCTTGAGAGGAGAAACCCTAGGTGGGTGAGAGCAATACCCGTCAACCTTGGTGAATTTCGAGGTTCGCGGTTCTTCGATTTCTTCTTTCTATTATTCCTCCACGACATTTTCCCTCAAACACCAGCCGGCCTCCCCTCTCTGCGGCCTCGTTTTTCCCCCATAAACTGCCACTCCCCTCTCTTCACCACCGGCCTCCCTTGGCCGGCCTAACTGCCGACCGTTAGGCCGGCCATCACCACCCCAGCCGCTGGCCTCCAAGGCCCAACCGCCCCTCCCACAAGTCCAGCCGCCGGCCCCCCTCTCATTGCCCATAAAGCTGAAATTCAAATTTCAAAAGCTCATTATTCCCTTTCCTAAAATAGGTTTTATTAATTAGGAAAGTTTCTTAATGTGAATTCAATTAATTAATTGAATTTCAAATGCTTTCCTAATACTTAAATCTAAGATAGGAAACCCCCCAAATTTAATTAAATATGAGAATAAATTCAGATTTGATTAAATCCCCTATTTATTTCGTTCGGGCCCACATATTAAATATAAAAATCCCTCCCTCCCCTCTCTACATGGCCGGCCCTCCCTCAACATGCTTATCTCTCTCCTAATTAATTCAAAATCCCCCATTAAAGCTTCTTAATCCCCTCCTAAATCGCCGCCCCTTACCCTTTATGGAATAATTTGAAATTCAAATTGTTCCCTTTCTTCTCTCTTAGAAAAATCTGAATTAATTTCAGATTTTTTAATAATCCCTCTCTCACATTCAAGCCCTAGCCCTCACCCGCCCCCTCTCCTTCTCCCTCACGGCCGAACAAATCCCACCCATTGCAAGCCGCCGCCTCCCTCCTTCCCCTCCCTAAATCTTCTTCTCCCTCCCTCGAGGCAATTATGAATGGCTGATCTGGAGATTGATCACGGGTTCGTAGAAGATTCTAACGGACCGACATCCTATGATCTTCTTTATTGGACTTCACTCTGGGCTTCGACAACTCGGTGGAAGAATACGAGGACCGCATCTTGTATCAATTGACGCTTTCAATTGAAGAGCACATCCTTCCGGGTCGTTGATACGTTGTCAACCATCCACCTACTTCTTCGACTTCGACTACCGCTCCAACAACTACTACCCGAGGCTTCTTCCTTCTTGTGGTGGCATTGCTTGGTGTATTGGCTTTGCTTCTCCGTCAAACCTTACCACTTTAAAGAGAGAGATTCATGGAACTCAAGGTGAAAACATTGCTTTGTTAACTGGTGGATTATGTTGAAATAATCATTTCATTACTTTATTTTGATTGTTGTTTTAAAGGATTCTTTAACTTCAGTTTGTGATTGATTGCCTACGCATAGCTTTCTTCTTAAGATCCTCTTTGAATCTACTTGGGTGAAACATTAAGTTAAATTTTATCATTACTTAATCAATTACTTATTAATACTCGCAACAATTCCTGATTTCACATCAAAGAATCATTAAAGAAAAGCTCAAAAAGCTCGGATAAGGTTAAATTGATGATGCTTATAATTAATATAGAACAATCTTAATGTTGTTGTTACGAGCAGAAGGCAGATGTAAGTAATTGTTTGTGTAACTTTTTAAACGCTATCCTTTCTTAAGAGGGCATACCAGAAATACTTGTATAAAACTTCCATTTCTATAATGACTACCAAACTAAAAGCACTTCTGTATTGTGATAGAAAATACTTGAGTTCGCAAGTAACCCTAATGGGAATACTTGAGTTCGCAAGCAAACCTAACAATAATCGGTAAAATCAGCGAGAAAAATAGAAGAGTTTGGGTGGAAGCAATCAAAATTAGTAGATAATTTCATAGAAATCAAAGTGAAGAAAGAACGAAACAAATATACCATTGATCCTCAATTCGAGAGGAGGATTGTTCTCTCCCAATCCCTAGACGAGAAGCCTAGAGCCCAAGACACCAAAGAGAATTCCAAGAGAAACAATAATCATGCATGTCCTAACCGTAGCCTCTCATCTTCTTTAAATACATATATTCCTAATAAAATGCTTCCTAAAATAAACCAAATTCAAATTAACCTCCAAGGCTTTAGCCGCCCCTTCCCTCTCTCCAATTGCCACCCGGGGGGGCACATGTTTGGGCGCACAGCTCTTAAGGAGGTGGCTTGGGCCGCCTCCTATAGACCTGAACCGGCCCCATCTGGAGCGGTTTTGGTCGGTTCACATTGAACCGTAGGTCCGTAACATATTGAGCCATACTTATCTTGTTTTATGGTTATTTTGTATTTCTTTATTAGATGGCATGACACCTTTGCTGTTTATATTTAAGTGAAACTGTACTTTCTTATGTGCAACAGATATGGGATACGGCAGGCCAGGAAAGATTTCAGAGCCTAGGAGTGGCTTTCTATCGAGGTGCAGATTGCTGTGTTCTTGTGTATGATGTTAATGTCATGAAGTCGTTTGATAACCTGAACAATTGGCGTGAGGAATTTCTAATTCAGGTAATAAATTTCTCTCAACCATCGCTCAGATGCAGGCATCTGAGACTAATTTGTATCTGTTTACTATCTTTTCAGGCCAGTCCATCAGACCCTGAAAACTTTCCATTTGTAGTGTTGGGAAACAAGATAGATATCGATGGTGGCAACAGTCGTGTGGTAAGAATCTCCATTTCATATGGAACTGTGATGAATGCTATATTGATCTAGTGTTCATTATCGTTGTAGTCTGAGGTTTCGTTTGGAACAGCTTTCTTACCGCTTCTTAAAACAGCATTCTAGTACACAATTTAAATTTTTTTAATAGAAAGCTGCTTTAAGAAACTGTAATAAAGCTGTCCCAAACGAAACTTGAGTATGAATTTAAACTTTAAATTCGAACTTCTTCCTTTTTTTTTACTTTTCAGGTTTCAGAGAAAAAGGCAAGAGCATGGTGTGCTTCAAAGGGTAACATCCCCTACTTTGAGACATCTGCAAAAGAAGGATTCAACGTGGAGGCTGCTTTTCAGTGCATAGCTAAGAATGCTCTCAAGAATGAGCCTGAAGAGGAAATGTGAGTTCTTTGGCTCTTGTTGGATGTTTTTATAATCATAAATAATAGATTTTAACAGGCAGGTTAAAACAATAGGGGAAATTTAATTTAACTTCCATGAAATAAAATTTTGAACTATTAATTAGGAAAATTTTGTTAATTAACTTCACTTTTTTATAACCTCCCTAGATTTGGCAAGTTTATTTGAGCTAGCTTGATTATTTGGTAATATGATAAGGCCCTTGATGCCTTTGCTTCTGTGAATTTGGTTTTAATGGAGTTTTGCTGGTGTTTTAGATACCTACCTGACACTATTGACGTGAGCAGTGGCGGCCGACAGCAAGGCTCGCCATCAGGTTGTGAATGCTAGATGGACATGAAAAAGCTCAAGTTTACTTCCAAAATTCATTAAGCAAATTGAAATTATGATATGGAAATTGACTCTCGTCTTCTGTAACTTATTTGTCATGTTCCAAAAGGTGTTATTATCAGTTGATTATAAGTGTCTTCTTCCATCATCTTGTTTTCTCAAGTTCATTTGTTCCGGCTTACAAAATTTGTGCCATATTACTACTGTTTCTGCTGTATTTGTGGAGAACTATGCACTTTGTTGATTTGGAGGACTTTTCATTTGCTCAAGTTCTCTCTCTCTCTCTCTCTCTCTCTCTCTCTCTCTTTCGACTCTTTGTTCTTTAAATCTAGTTCTGACTATGATTTGTTCATATTTTATAGAGCCAATGAATGATATTCAATACTATTTGCGGTTCAAGCTAAGCTACTTTGAGATTACGGTGACTTTAGTTTCTTTGGGACAACTTTCGTACTATTTTCTAAAATTGCATCAAATTCAAAAAATATTTGTAATAGAAATCTATTTTAGAAAGCAAGAAGAAAACCGTTCCAAACGAAGCCTTTATTTGTGTTCTGCTCTGTATTTAGAAGTGGCTTGAGATCTGAGTTTTGAGGAGAAGATCATCCAAAAATAGAATTTGGGAGTCATAAGACATGATAAGATGGGGCTTTTTAGAACAAATTTCTTGAGACAAGGATGCTGTAGCGCTTGTTTTTTATTCACTTCTAATAGTATTACATTTAACAGGCTCTGAACATTAAGAAGTTGCTTAAAGTTAGTCTTATTATTAATCAAAAGATAGCAAGGTTAAAAGCTGTAAAAAATAAATGCAAAAATTAAACTAAAATTGAATGCAGCACTTGGTTTTGATGCAGGAAATTCAACTGAAAGAAAATGAAAATTTCTAATCAAACTAGATTTTTTATAAGTTAGTAAATCTTTGAAATTTCATTTAATTTCTTATTCTTCAAACATAGCTGAAGTGCAAGAATGAAGGGGCAAAAGGTTAAGCACGAAATAAGGCTAACTATGATACAGGTCAGGCCACTGGTTAGCTATTGACTTGTTTAATGAAACTAGATACATGTGCTTCTGTATTATTTTAACTTGTAATAATGAGGAATATTTTTACATTATAAGTGATTGAGACATACTACCGTTGGATTTGTAACGGTAACTGATTCACTAAATAAATAAATCACAGTTTAGGGTTTTACTGAACCCATTTCGAGTTTCTTTGATACGATCTTTAAGAAACCAACCCAATTCATCTAGAGTTTTACTATCAATTAGAGGTGTAAGTGAGCTGAGTCGTCTCTTTAGTTGGCTCGAACTCGACTCGTTTATGACCTCGTGAGCCGAGCTTATCGAGCCACAAGCTCGAGCTCGCTTATTAAACAAGCTCAAGTTCGAGCTTAATTAGGTTCAGCTCGAGAGCTCGTGAGCCGGCTCAAAATTATTAAATTCGAATATTTTAAAAAAAATAGTACTAAATGTTGTATAAATCACTCCTGTCTATAGTTTAAATTCCAAGAGAGACATCAATAAATGCTAATAATTCTCTCTAACAAAACCCAAAAAAATTGCTCTCTTTCTCTCTTGTTTTATTTTTTAAAAAACTATACGCATGTATTTCGAGAAACGCAGAACTTTAAATGTCACGATTTGGGAAGCCAAACCGGACCGCACCGAAGGCTCCACATGCGGCTCGACGAACAGCTCGAGCTCATTTACATTGGAACGAGTCGAACACAACTTTTGAGCTCAAGCTCAAGCTCGATATTTAACAGTTGAGCTCGACTCGAACATCCTGACTCCAGCTCGACTACCATCAATAACGGGAAACCTGTTGGCACCAATTTTGTTTAATTGATAAGAATTTTGCAAGTTGTTAGGAGTTTGAACCTCGTTTATATCACCATAAATTTCATCTTGAGAATTTTAGGGTGGCCAAAAAAACTCCTATACTATGGAATTATAGCTCTCTAGAGAAGAAAAAAAAAAGGAGCTCCTACCAACAAAATTGCATGTGTTGCAGTTCCATAAATCTGTAACAAAAATCAAATGGCACAAGACTACTAATTCTAGTTTACTCAAAAATAGTTGCATTTTACTATTAACCTAAATTGCACTAACTGCCTCTCTTAAGATTTGCACTGTAATTATCTCCCTAACAAGAATTACATCACAATCACCTATGGATTCACCATAACTCTACATACTTCCAATATGCTTATGCTTATAACCAACAGGCATAAGGATCTAAATCAGCATCTTCATCACCAGTTTTAAATGTCCATTGAGATATTTTATATTAAAATTCCTCCAATTATAAGCTGTTGAGCCATTTCCATACCTTAGCTGTCCTATGAGGGCAAGGCCTTACATTTTGTCACCTCTTAAGATTAAAAACAAGAAAAAAAATTAAAATCAAAAGATCAAAACAAAAAGAAGTTTTTACATGTTCGCCTAATTGATAGCTCAGATTTATTGTCACTGCTGTCCTGATTCATCTAATACAACATAAATACAGAATTCACCTCTTTATTTGCCTAAATAACCTCAGGGTAAAATACAATAAAATTCCCAAATGACATAACTGAAATAATATGCAAATATTAAATACCTTTTGAGAACTTCAGCCTTGAACCCCACCAGAGAGGGGGTCCCTGCCTTTTCAAAAACCCACAGCTCAAGTTACCGTGAAACTCGGGCTTCATTTGAGATAGCTTTCGTATTGCTTCCTAAAACGGTTTTTAGTATAAAATTTTCTAATTCAAAAAATTTTTACAATAGAAAGCTGTTTTAGAAAGCAACAAAAAAGCAAACCTCAATATGCAGCTAAATAGATATAATGTGTTCCCCTCATAAGACAACATTTTTTCCATTTCCATTTAGATTAAATAAACATGAGAAAATAACAACAGAGTTCGTTTCCATCGCTCTTTTGTAATAATGTCAGCTTAATCCAAATCACTATCACTATAAATGGATATACAGAAAATAATGCAATTGCATTTGATTCTCAATTCATAAACAGAAATGCAGAAAGAAGTGCAAGTTTGAACCTAAAAAAGTACTTTCAAAATTTAGGCTAACCTTCTTGATTTTCTAGAGAAATAAAAGATTTAAACCACTGCTTCCAAGCAGCGTCTCCTTGCTGCTCAATCCATGACAAGAAGCAGCTGTCTATAAGACAAAAGAAATTTACATAGAGAAGTTGGTACCTGACTGGGACATATCTGAAATTTGCAATCTGAACAAGTGGCCAAATTCCTCCACCAATTACCAGGCTTGGAAGAAAGTCCCTCTTAACATCTTCCTTCACTTGTTCCACATTTTTCCCAGAAGCAAATCCAATGTATGAGAAAAATATTAGTAGATCTAATGGTCCAAAAAGGAGGCAATCACCAGCAACTTTGGCTGCGACAAACTTAGGAGTTTTAGGTTGCAGCTTAAGTTGAAGTCTGATAAATCTGTCCAAGTATTCGTACCTGAATTATAGGAAAGCAAACTATCAGATGATAACCAAAATTTTGTATGACTAGACCCAATAGTAGGGGTGTCAATTTTGGGTCACGGGTCGGGTTCAGATCGAACCCGAAACTGACCCGACACTATTCGGGTCAACCCGAACCCGACCTGCTTCGTGTCCGGGTCAACCCGACACGACCTGAATGACCCGGGACGGACAAAAAATTGCTAGTTTTCGGGTAAAAAACGGGTCAATCTCCAATTTTCGGATCAAAGGCAGGTCAAAATGGGTCAATCTAGGGTTTCTAGGTCAAAATGGGTTTTCGGGTAAAAAAACGGGTCAATTTCGGGTTACTGCGTCAACCAGAACCCGATTCGATTTCTGAAACGTGTCGATTTGCTAAACCCAAACCGACCCGTTTTGGGTCTAGGTTGACCCTAACCTGGAATTTTCAGGTCGGGTTTTCGAAACGTGTCAAATATTGACACCCCTACCCAAGAGACATGCATATGTATATACATAAAAACGGTCATAGCATAAAAATTCAAATAACACCACTGGGTTTGTGCCCCAGCGTTATGCTCTTTACCTCTGAAAACGAAGATCTGCGTTTATTTCAATCAAAAAGAAAAAGCTCCATATAAGAATCGCCATGCAGGTGCTAGCATCATGCATAGAAATATAATACTAAATTGCTGAGAGTAGTGTTGCGAAATTACAAGTTAGCTATCAACGTGCTTCAACTGGTATGGTTTTACTATTTTCTTTGCTTCACTCATTGTCTCCCCCACACATGAACTTGAGAAACTGATGTGAAACCAAATGCAAAAGGAGCTTGTTAAGAAATTTAAGAACGATGGACAATGTAATCTCAATCAATAACTTATTGAAATAACAAGTAAATTCATTAAAGAACCTTAGTCTTTGACTTGCTTAGGCGAAGGAGTACAAGTAGATTAACCAAAACTCATAGGTAACCAAAGATAGTAGCAATACCAAAAGCTATTAATCAACAATCCGCAAATTAATAATGAAAGTTTTCACCTTGGGGATTAATCACTCAACTATACTAGGCTTAGCGGGAGATGATCTTCAACACACTTAACGATGCCATGAGGGGGGCCGCAACACCGATGGTCTTGAGCCACGGAAAGGTTGGCGGTGGTGGAGGAGGCACGGACGGATAGCCAATGACGGTCCACGAATAGTCTTTGAATTGCTCGTCAATGACATCGATGAGCGTGGGAAGAATGCGATTTAAGTAGTCTTCAACCGTGTCGTCGGATCACTAAAGGTTACCAAGCTTATGCACATTAAACATGATATGGATTTCTTCCCATCATGGATAGGGTATAGAAAAGAAAAATTAAATAGAAAAAGATTATAGTTTTAAATTAATAAAAATACGAAATGTTTGATACACAATTCTCCACTTGGGGAATTTTCTCCTGATGAGAAACGTTCAGCACTCGTCATATAAGCCCAAGTTTATTTTTTAGATCAGCGCATCAATCAGGTACATCAGTCAATGTTTCGATGGTTCCATTTGACAAGGAACTTTCATGCTCTCATGTCTTTTTAACTAGTTTCACATCAATAACCAATCTTCTTATCTTCAGGACTTATTCCAAAAAGCAGAGAGTGAAATCTAATATCTACGAAAATCGTCATGAATCTTCCCTTCATAAAGACAGGTCAGAAACATTAAAAAGGTGAGTTGGATGCACAGATTTGGTAAACTATGAGATAGGCATGTGCACCTAATTTTATTATGCACAGAAATGGGCAATTCTTTCTTACTTAACTTTTTGAAAGTGCCAACATGGAACCTTGGAGAAAGTAAGCCATGATCACTAAGTTCACCTTTATGAAATTTTATTTTTTCGTCGTTTATCAGCCAGCAAATTCTACTTAGCAGTACTTCTTAAGTTTTCACAACCGTGTTGTGCAGTTTTTAATATGATCAAATGTTCGAAAGCCGTCAGCACTAGTTTTTTAGAAGAGATAAAAATTTCTATCAAATATGGAATATGTTGCCCTTAAATAATTTTCAATGGAAGTTTTGCTAGTATACGATGACAAGATTATTGTATGCAAACTCTGCTTAGGCACACTAAAGAATCATGAGATGGTTTTTTCCATTAAGGCCATCTAACAAATTTCCAAACATTGATTCTACTTCGTCTCCTCATCGATCTTGAGGAATGATAGGCACTGCTAAGATTGAGTAGTTCAAGTTTGCACACAGAGTTCCTCACAAAATGACTAAATCGTTCACATCAGAATAAGGTTCTGAGGATACCGTAAGACGAACAATTCTCTTAAAGTAAACAATGATGTTGATACAAGCAAGAAGGAGCTTGTTAAGAAATTTAAGAACGATGGACAATGTAAATCTCAATGCAATAACTTATTGAATAACAAGTAAATTCATTAAAGAACCTAGTCTTTGACTTCTTAGGCGAAGGAGTACAAGTAGATTAACCAAAAATCATAGGTAACAAAGATAGTAGCAATACAAAAGCTATTAATCAACAATCCCATAATATTGAGAGTTTTCACCTTGGGGTTATTCACTCAACTATACTAGGTATAGCGGGAGATGATTTTCAACACACTTAAGATGCATGAGGGGGCGCAACACCGATGGTCGAGCCACGGAGTTGTGGTGGTGGAGGCACGGACGGATAGCATTGACGGTCCACGAATAGTCTTTGAATTGCTCGTCGATGACGCCGTGGGAAGAATGCGATTTAAGTAGTCTTCAACGTGTCGTCGGATCCGAACCCACGTCAAGAAAGGAGATCGGGTATATGGATGTCACCGTAATATCAACACCAATCCACTTGATCTCCGATCCGCCATGCATGCTTGGCGTTGTGAGAGAGCACAAAAGAGAGAGGGGAGGTGACGTGGATTCAAGGGGAGAGGGTGGCCGACAGGGGGTGCAAGGGAGGAGCGAGGCTTGGAGTTTGGAGAAGCTAGGTTATACTGGAATGATGGGCCGTTTTAACCAATTGAAATTTAATCAGATTTGATTTATTAGTAA